AGTATTGTGAAATCAGATTGGTATCCAAGTGCCACAAAAGTAAATTTTACTAAATGGGGGTATGGTGTATCAGCTGTATTTTTCCTGCTGTAGTTTATAGTTAGAAGAAATTAATGTTCTTCAAAATGTTTCTGAAAACATTGCCTGGCAAAGTCTCCTCCTTATTTATTCTTACAATTATGTACTTTGCCTTCTCACAAGTTCATTACGTGTGAGTTTTCAAAGGCCACAATGACAGCTGGCTTGGAAATCTTCTACAGGAAACAAGAGACACAGAATCAAATACCTGGAGAAAAAGAGCAATGTACAGCCAATTGAATTTGGTGCTGCATTTGATTAGATTTATGTTATTGATTAAAAAGCAATCCTGTACATTTAGGGCAATAGCATATTAGGAGCATGGGATCTGACAGGGGTGTGTAGGGATAGAGGAGAAAAAGGACAACTGCCATTCTTGTTGCTCTGTATAATCAAATGGGTTTTGTGATCCTGGAGCTCCAGGGTGAAAGCTGCTTCTGGAACGTGAGTGAGCCTAATACAATGTGTGGAGCAGTGTGGGTCATATATAAATATGTATGTATATAGATATAAATATAAGGGCTTTTCAGTACTTCTGAAAGAGCTTTGAAATAAAAGAATTTCTGTTTTCTTTTAGTCCCTTGGAATTATCTTATACTCCCCCACTGGAAAACAAGCAGCGCAAAACCTTTCCATCCAAGATCTCTACTCCACACCTTTTGTCGAGTAGCTCTAAATCAAGAAACCTCCCCAAAACAAGAGGTAGTGTAAGGCTCTTTTTTGTAAATACCTCAAGAGTTTTCTGTCATTGCCTGTAACCCCTCTGCAGTGCTTAATTCTATGTCTGGTGTGAGAAGAAAGCTATTCAGTTTATTATCTACACACTTGATTTTTCTTTTGTTTTAATAGGTCCAAGCAGTAAGTTAATGGAGAACAGACCATCAGTATTAGCAAAATTTCTGCCCACTGGTTCTGCACAGGAGCTAGGAAACACCAGCAGCTCAGAAGGGGAAAAGGATTCTCCACCGCCAGAGTGGGACTCTGTCCCTCTCCACAAAGCTGGCAGCTGTAAGTAATCACTAGACAATGGCAGAATGAGTGTTCTGCAATTAATATCTGTAGATAGCCTTGATCTGTTTATAGATGTTCCTGTCTCCTTTTCACTGCATAGCTGAGCTCCATTTTTCTTCTGTAGGCCCCATATTGGTAGCATCTGGTATGATTTGGGAGGTTTGAAAATGGCGTGGGCAGAACATGGGTCACTCCACAGCTCTCCATTGTTGAACAGGATTCAGAAACTGCTGGAGAACTTGAGAAAATGAGAATTACTGCTCAAATAATATGTATTTCCTACAGTAGATGGGATTGTGCTTGGTCAGGTCTGCTCCAGCCAAATGTGGAAATAATTAGATTATTTGTCCTTGAGAGGGAACACTAAAAACACCTTAATGCAGCAGTGGTTAGCTTGGGGCACTGTTAAAATTTTTGTGGTAACATTGTAAATCCCTCATGTGGGAACCAACTCACCTCCTCCTAGTTGTTTGTGTTGCAAATCAGTCTCTCTGAAAATAAACAGCATAAACTGAATAACCATACGTGAACATAGAGAAGGAACTGCTGCTTCCATCACTGGGAGCAAACAGCCTTTCTCATAATTCCTCCATTTGAACAGAAGGCATAGCAGAATTTAAGAAGCCTTTGCTGTAATGTAAATCCTATAGGAAGATGTTTTGTGTTTCTCTTTTTAGCCACAGACAACCTCTATAAGCTCTCTCTGCAAACCCTGAACGCAGACGCTTTCCTGAAGCAGCGGCAGCCCTCTCCAACACCCGCCTCTCCATCTCCCCCTCCTCCTCCCACCTCCTTTGCTTTCGGGCCACGAGGAGGCACTTACAGCAGCATCGTCAACAGCAGCTGCAGCAAGTGAGTCCAGATCCTCCCTCCTACTGATTTCCCAGGCACTGAGCACTTGTGGAACTGTGCTTCACAGGGGGCATCTCCCTATTCTCAGACCCATTTCCTCTCCCCATGGAAACTGCTTTTCTGCAGGTACACTACTGTGCATATCTTGCCTTGCTGTACAACATGGTATATTGGTAAAAAATGTGCAATTTCATGAAACTGTTGAGCTGTTATAAACATTTTCTTGAATAGTAGCTTAAATTGCTGCTTTTTTTAATCAAACTGCTGAGGTCCAAAACCTTACTCTTTTTTACCCTCATTTCTTGGTTTCTTTCTCATTTTAGTGAAACAAAAACCAAGCAGCCTAATGGTACCAAACATAAGCTGGCAAAGGCAGCTTCTCTTCCAGGCAGGAATGGAAATCCCACTTTTGCTGCTGTAGCTGCAGGTTATGACAAAAGTCCAGGTACTGGAACCAGTTTGGAGTTCTTACTAATTCCAGATATTTCCTGGATATTGTTACTTTGCAGGGGTTTATTTTACTGATTTTTATATACATATTCTTCACAGGTGGCAGTGGTTTACCAAAGGTTTCTCCAAGCAAGACAGATGTGTCCAGCAATATCAGCATTTCCCACACAGTTGTTGACAGTGATGGCTCTGACAGGTAATTTTTATATTCTCTAGGCAAATACCTGGACCTCTGGAAAAGAAGATAGAGCTATTAATGGTATTTTGAAGGGAATTCAACAGAATTCAGAATTCATTCTGGTTAGGCTTTTTTAAAACTATTTTTAAAGTCTAGGCACATAATCTCTCACCTTGCAGAAAAGTTTAGGAGTTGCAAGTGACTCAAAAGTAGAGAGAGAGAGAGATGTTCTGGACGTGATGGGAGCTTTTCCCTCTTCATTCCAAGTAACTCAACATTCTGTTCCTGGGCATCCACACAATGAGAAATCAGCTTGGCTCTCTCAGTGCTGAGGAGTGTGTACCAAGGTCACTTGAAGGGTCACAGGCAGAATACCTTGCTGTACAGCAAAATGCCTTTCACTCCCGTTCTAACACTGAGACCAGAACTTTCCGTGGGCTTTGTGCTTTCAGTAGGAGCAGGACAGAGCTGCACTCGGTCACATTCCCTGAGGCACATGTCTTTCCTGACATTTTGGCAGTTGTAAAAAGTAGTAACCTTTCTGGAGTAAGAAAGAGACTTGAACTCACGTTTCCATATGCAAAGGAAATGCTTTCTGCGTGAGGTTAGTGCATTGGAGTTTTTGTTTTGGTGGATGTTGATGTTTAGCACTTGGTTCCAGTTAATGCATCTGTTACTTTTAAGAAGCTTGTCCATGGGTGTATTTGGATCCCTTCCAAGTCACTGTAATTTTACCTCCTTAAGAAAAAACCTGTACCATGCCTTGGGCTCCATGAGTTTTCTGAAAAACTGATCAAAAGAGCTACTCTCATGTTTGTTTGATACTCATTCTACAGATTACAGAGCACTGTCTATATTTTTGTGTTACTCCAAGGTGGATGTATACAAAGGAAAATGTATATCACCAAAATCTATTGTTAAAACAAAACCAAACTGATTTCCTAACTCTTGATTGCAATTAAATATTTCTTTAGTATATGTTTAACTATATATTTTTTAATAGATTATGAATAAATATAATAGCTAAACATATCTATACACATACATTTGTATATAGATCAGTAAGTTAATATTGTCAATAGTACTGTGCTAATAAGTAATGTATTGCCTTCCTGTTGCTCCATAAAATGTAGTTCGGGTTTGTGGAGTCCTATCAGCAATCCCAGCAGTCCTGATTTCACACCTCTGAACTCCTTCTCTGCATTTGGACACTCTTTTAACTTAACTGGAGGTGAGTTTTCCTGTTCAAATATTTTTCCATATTCAAATACAGGTAGAGAAATGTTGTGTCTTCATTCCACTGTCTAAATACAGACACTGTCTCCATCCTCACTCCTAAAGGGAAGACTGTGTAGGAACACTTGTTAAAAATTTGGTGTCATATTCTGAGTTTCACTCCAGAGAAACTTAGTGAAATCTCAGAGTGTTTGATGGGAGAATGCTTGGGTTTGGAGTTTCTCTGTTGCATTCTTGCAACAGAAATTTCTGCATTTTGGGGGTTATTTCCTTCGTCTTCTTCCTGTCCATCCCTCCCCCAAAGCTTTACTGTAGGTCCCACAAATGTGCCAGTAGGCCTGTGGCTTCCTGAGCATAAACACCTGCTTAAAACCATGGCTCTGTTAAGTGAGGCAGTGGCCCAGCCCTCATGTTGCTTTCCTTTTGTGTTTTCCTGCAGTATTTGTATAGCTGCACAGTGAACTGGTTCATACTAAACCCAGCAATTAATCTATTTAAATATTTGGGTAAATTTCCATAAATGTAATAGAGGTGGCCTGGCATTGAGATTGCAAGGCATGGATGCTGTGTACTTGGGCACATGTGGTGTGTTTTGAGGTGGCTGAAAAGATGATAAGCAAAGTAAACTTTGGATGTGGCATTGGTGTGTACTGAAAAAATGCTATTTACTGCAACAGTTTGATGTCTGTTGGAAATGTAAGCAGTGGCAGCTGCTGCTGTGGGGTTCTTCCTTTCTTCATCAGCAACACTTGGTACCCGTGGCTCTGAGGGCACCAGTAAAAGGCCTGGGATCAGTTCTGTGTGTGAGAAGCAGGCAAGCCATGACTGCTGGTTCTCTCTTTTCCTTCTCATAGCAGAGATGGTGCTGGGGTGGGACATTCCCAGTGCTGCCTCTTACCAGGAATCACCTGGGAAGGGAGTGCTGCCAGGCAAATGAGTACTGCAGTCACAGAGAACTGCCAGGACTCTTGAGTGCTGCTCTGCTTAGGCTGGACTGAATTACCCACAGCAAGGGTTCAACTCTTTCCCCACTATAACCGTGATGAACTTTGTGGCCCTGTCTGATGCTGGTCACATGAGATGAGATTTTTATTACTGTGCGACCTCTTCTAATATCACTGCAGCAGGACCAGCTAGAAAAATACGGGAAATGATGGTGAAAAGTATTTTTCTTGGAAAAAGAGAAAGAGTAATGTACTCATTTTTATTTAATTTTATTTTTAGAGGTTTTTAGCAAGCTCGGTTTAGCTCGATCTGCTTATGGGCAGGATGTTCAAAGAAACTGGAATGAATTCAGTAATGTTCCATCATCCATCTGGGATCCTTCAGCTACAGATTCTGTACCCTCCTGGCCAACAAGCTCAAGTTCCCCAACTCACACAACTGCAGTAAGTATTCAGTCCATCCAAATACAATGATTTATTACTGTTACCAACCTGTTCTGTATGTGCCATCTAATTTAATTCAGAGGAACTGGGGATGAAAAGAAATTAACTGAAGAATAAAAGAAGAGGGAATTTACATATATTCATCTTGGTGAATTTAAGTTGACAAACTCTTTGGCTGTTGGATAAAGAGTTATTAGTTTCCTTACTTGCAAATGATGAATCCATGTACACTACTTCCCATAAAAATATTTCTTAGAAGAGCACCTTGCAGCTCTTACAAAAGTGTGTTCTGATCCCACATCCTTCAAGTTTGCTCCTGTGTCATGGCTGGACACTGCATGTGTTACCTCAGGTTTCATGGACAGCTGCAAAATAGGCAATATGATAACTTACACGCTTGATTCTGCTTTTGAATCCATTATTTCACCTGTTGGTAAATTAACAAAAGGTCCCAGAAAAAACCATCTAAAAGACCTGAAATATATTATTTTCAGTTTGGGAAAAAACACTAAAGGACTGAGCACAAGGTGAAGTCTTTTAACTGTCAGCTTATTTTGATGAAGATTTTGAGTATAGCAAAAGAAGGCGAAAACCCCCAATTTTACAGATTGTAGTGCTGCACTGTCATCCTTGTGTCAGACCAGAACTTATGCTGCAACAGCTGTCTTCACTGCCAGCTGAAATCCTTCTTCATGTTGACTTCTGAAAATATTTCTGTAGTGAGTAAGAGCCAGTGTTTACTTCACCTGAGAGCAGTTCAGATGGAGTGGGGGAAGGCAGGGACAGGGGAAGCCAAAGAAGGTCACACAGCTTCTTATAGACACAGGCTTTCAGATCCCACCCTTGTCATGTGGTTACAACCAGAGCTGGAACCTCACTGAAACTATGTAAGCAAAGATGTTTGGATTTTGGTCACATGGAGGGCAGGTTTCTCAGCATTTGATAGAGGGAGGGCTTGAGGAGAACCAGAACAAGCTCTCTAGCTCTTAACTCGTATTTCCTAGCTGCTTCTAAAAAATATTTAGAAGTGTGCTTAAGGAAGCATCAAGTTGGAAGCCAGACAAATGATACAGAAGAAGTGTCAGGTACTCCATTTAAATACTTTGATTAGGAAGGAGATATTTTAGAAGCTTACTCAAGGAGAAGGTCACATAATAAACAAGAAGCGAGCAGCAAACTGACTGAAATACTCAAAGCTATTATAAATGATTTTCAAGTGCTTATGGCAAGCCAGAACAGGAAAGCTTGGCTTTTCCTGTTACTGAGCCTCCTTGCTCTAGGTGCCTGATAAGAGAGCAGGTACCAGGCCAGGGCCCTGCCCCTTCCTCTGTTCTGGGACAAGAGCCAAAGCCATTGTTACAAACACAGCTTAGGCAGTGGCTCCCGTGTTACCCTTTTTCTAGGAAGGCTTCTGGGGAGCTGATTTTGGTTGTTCTCCTTCCTTATTCCTCTTGCTTTCTCCTTGTGTGCACAACTCTGCTTCTGTACTAAGTAGCATTTGCCTCCTGGATCCCATCTCCCCTCAGCCTTGCTGCCACTTCTCCCTAGGTTTCTTTCTAACCACATTCTCCTACTCCCTGTTACTCTGTTTCTCTGTTGTAGTTCTTCCTGCCAGCCACTTCGTACCTCCTTCCACCAGCCTTGAAAGAGCATAGCAGATACTTTACTCTGCTGCTCCTTTCCTGATTGCTTCTGATTCATGAGCAAGTGCCTTTCTACCATGATCTCCCAAAAATTTTTGGGACCAGTAGGAACAAATAGTTCCTGCCTTTTACCTGCAGCAGGAAATGGGGTGGAGTTTTAGTGTGTTAGGGTAGGTTCCCGAGCAGCAGAGTGAGCATTTCATGCTGTAGGCTTAGTAGTCTAATGCTGGTATAGCTTAAATATAACCATTTATTTATGTGACAGTAGCACACTGTGACCCTGGTCTGGCTCAGTTTCTCAGTGACATCGTAGAGTCCCAATGTCGTTGGCCTGGTTAACCCCCAGGTAATGCTCAGAACTTCTGTCCAGCCCTTGGTAGCAAATTATGTGGTGTGGTAGCATCCAGCCAGTTTTAGGTATGACTAGACTGAGCCTGTCTTCTTCATTCCAGAGCAGAGAATAAAAACTTAAAAGGAAGAAATTTTCAGATTCTACCCTGTTTTCTTTCCTAAAGGGATTTTTATTTAAATCTTCAGATGCAGGGTACACTGATACTAGTTAGCCCTTAGTGTGTGTTATCTAAGGGCAGAGATCTTGGGAAGGGGTGCCCAGCCACTAAATCCAAACACAAGGATGCTTGTACCTAACAGCACTTACTCAACAAGTCTGCTGCCTTTTGGGTGTATCAAGTTTCCAGTGTATTTGCAAATTGAATTTACAGCATATGTACATTAAATCTGTTGACACTGGGTTATGTAGTGCCAGAAGCCTACATGTGGCAGGTTCTGTGCTAATATTAGCAGAAAGTTATGCTAACCTTTCTCATCTCCATCTTTGGCTGCTTCCTGATATCACTTTCCACCACACTATGGGTCAGGTTTCTCTGCTTGCTGTTTACTACTGTTTGGACTTTAGTAAAATATAGTTGACAAAACCTGGGCCTTGTGTTCCTGCGTATATTCTCTAGGCTTGCTGTACCTGTCCTATATATCTCAGATGCATTTGTGATGTGCTGGAACTCACCTGCATCTGCACCATGACCATTTGTCAGAGACTTCCAAGTGTCTTGGAGCCAGGAGAGACTTTATGAAATTCAGTGAAAAATGGCCAGTTCTCCTATTCCCTCTCCCTTAATTTAAAAAAATTCTGGGAATATGGAATAGGTACAGTGGGACTGAGCATGAGTAGATTCATCCAAAACAACAGGGTCTGACTACAGGGCAATAAATTTGCAAATTGCAAAAAAAGATGAAAAAAGGACTTTGCTGTTATCTTCCATTGCAACTTGAATTTTTTTGTTTTTTGAGAGTTAAACCATGTTTATCTACCTCATTCTAGCTAGTTTGTTTAAGCATAAGCATTCTGGCCCTTGTGTGTTGAATACTCATAGTGCTTAAATGAGCTCTGCTGTGGAGACTCAGCTGCGGTGAGAATGGCTCGAAAGCTGCAACGCGACTGCGCCCTGCAACCTGTGCAGCTCCCAGAGCATCCAGCTGCAGAACTGCAGTGTGGCTCCTCTGGGCAAGCTCTTGTAGAGGCAGGTCATAGCTCTGTGTTGCAGTGAGCATGGAAGGGGTTCCAGAGCAGGCTTCTTGATGCTGCTGCTTGGATACTTTTCTTTTGGGGGGCTGTAAACAAGGTGGGAATTGAGGCTTACCAAACCACCACTTACCTTGCTCTGTCTTTACTGCAGTCAATCCTGGGCAACTCCAGTGGCCTGTGGTCCACCACTCCATTCAGCAGTTCCATTTGGTCAAGTAATCTCAACAGTGGCCTTCCCTTCACCACTCCAACAAACGCCTTGTCAGGCATTGATCTCATGGGTAGTGAAAACTCTGCTGCTGCTCCGCCACCACCCGCTGCTGCCACCGTTGCCAATCCTGCTGAAGACATGGGACAGACCTATAATCCTTGGAGAATTTGGAGCCCCACGATTGGAAGAAGAAGTTCAGATCCTTGGTCAAATTCACACTATCCTCATGAAAACTAAAGCAAAAAGAAAGAACTCTTATCTGGGTCATGATACAATTCTGAATGCAAATTTTTGAAACATCATTTTCAGGCTGTTGCTTCCCCCAGCCCCACTCCCCCATCAGTCATGCTTTCATCACTCGCTCCCTTTTAAAGTCTGTCCTGCAATATGGTAGTGTGAGATTGCAGATAAGCTTGGAATGTCTGGGTGTGGTCACAAATCCCAACTCTGGCTAAAGCCTGTCAATATGAACAGTTTCACTGGTTTCATATTTTACCATCTGCCATCTTTATTTAGGAAACAATTTGAACTCTAAAATGGTCCTGGCATGCAATACTTTCATGAAAAGTTTGGGTTTTAAAATTTTTTCCAGTGTTGTCCTCCAAGTTCTAATTTAAAATCAAAAGGCACTTTGTGCTAAAATGCAGAGTATTTTTTTAAAATAAGGCTGTCTTTGTTAACACAGGTTGTAAGAATGTAAAAAAGGAAAAAATCAACAAAAAATACCAACAAAACCAACATAAAACCTTAAGAGCAAAGTGGCTGAATGTTAAGAGCATTCTGTTGAGACTGTAATACACTTTATGCTGTTTGTACATTTGTAAACCTGAACGCATTTTTAAGTTGAAGTGAAATGCACACAGCCAAGACTTGTGCAAGAAACAAGATACCATGTGCATTTCTTACAGATACAACTTTGGGTTGTACTTTAAAATAAATACGCTTTTTTCAAGATTTGTCTGCTGCAGTTCTTTTCCCCTTGTATTTTCTGAACTTGTGTGTTCATGACTCCACTTGGTACAGTCTTTGTGCCAAAATCTACTGCACACAGAGCCTGTGTTACCAGAAACTTCAGTGCAGATGAAACCTGGCTTCTCAACAGCGTGGGTTTGTATTGCAGCAGAGAATAGAAACTGTTTTCAAGGGTTATGCAGTGCCACCCACTTGAAAATTCACTAGATAGCAAAAAGCTGGAAAAATGTCTACGTTCTCGAGTTTCCAGGTATCAGGCATAAGAGCAGCTGCTGTTTATGCTACACCCATACCTTTGTAACACTGTTCTTGCATGGGTCTGAACAAGAATGTTACTATTCATGGATATGATTTATCTGTCCCTATAAGGTGCCTGTTTCCATTCATTAGCAGTAAGGCAAGCCCCAGTGACTACATATATTCCTCTGAGCTAAAACCAAGTAAAAATGAACCTTTCCATTGCCAGAAAGCATTAACAGACATGTGCACAGTAAATTTACTTATGACTCAGTGGCACAGGTGCCAATTCACAGCAGTGTTTATCAGAATCCATCCATTAAAAGAGTAAGAATAGTATATTTTAGTTAATATTCCTTCTAGCATAAAGATTTTGTATGCAACAAAATATGAGTGTCCCGTTTATTTAGCCAAGGGAGCCCTTTCCCAGCTGTGTTTTCCTGTATTTTATGGGAACAAACTCTTGTTAGGCCACTGCCTTCCTGGTGCCACCAGCAGAAGCTCAAAGATCCAGATCTCCTGAATAGGAACCTCCTGGAACTCCTTTGTTCTTAAAATTTTGAGTACTTCTACAGCCACACAAGGTCATGAAATGTTCAGCTTGGATTTGTATGCAATTTCCCTCTGAGTAACTGAACAAACAAGTCTCTTACTGCATGAAAATAAAGAATAAGCAGTTAAGCTCCTGACATGCTAGGGCATGCTTCTCTGCAAATGGAGCTTGGGAAGATAACTAGCAATAACTTCAAGGTGAAGGGAGCTGCTTAAGGTCATGTACCACCTCTTTTACCCAGCAGCTGTTTACACTGGAATTGATTCCATGGAGGATAGAAGCAGAAATTAATTCTGAGATGATAATAGTCTGCAGTGGTTTAATCAGCGAGGGTAGGAATAAAAAATTCTGGTTTGAGAACATTTCCTTTTGAACAAGACAAGGCAAAACACAAGTAATTTAGATGCCTTTCCCTGAGCCCCCCTACTTCCCCCCCAAATGTATGAGCCATTCCCTTGTGATAATGCAAATAACCTTGGCCACTATTAAAATATTCTTAGTTCTTGTTTTGGCAGAACTTCCCCTTAACCACCAGTTCCAGTGAAACCGCCTGAATTATGAAAATCTTTGACACACAGTTTTCAATTTGCTAAGAGGGGAGAAAGCATGTCTTTGTCCAAAGCCTAAACACTCCCTGAGCATATTGTCTTTTTTCTCCAGGGTAATTTTGGAGAGCACCTTCATTTTGTTTTACCTACTTAAAGAAAGCAAAAGGGCTGCCTTAAAGAGAAGCTGTAATTGCAATTAACAAGGACTTGGGTGAAATAAAATCTAGACAAAAGTTTGGTACAACTAAAGAAACCTCTGTGTATGGTAAGTACATGTACAAGATGGCTTTTGCTGCCTTTTCCCAAGGTACCTACTCTCCAGCTTTTATGGTATTGTCACTCTTGGCATGCACTGAAAAATCTCTTAAGCAGAGGTGGTAATGAGACAGAAGCATCCACCATCACAGAATCGTGAAGAGGACAGACCTCTTAAGATCTTATGATGAGGTAAAAATAAAAAGGAATGAGATTTTGACAAAGCACATGCAGTCTTGCATGCAAATCTAGATGGGGTTGAAAACACTGCAGTGTGCTGGGAGGACAAGCTGAGTGTGGGGAAATGTAAGGTCAAAAGCTGGGCAGCAAAGGTGACTGCAAAGGCAGCATGGAAAAGACTGAAGCTCAGACACAAGGGAAGTTCTGTCTGGAGTAAAAAGACCAGAGGAAAAAACATCTTAAAAGTGCTCAGAAGACAGGCTGTTCTGGAAACCATGGAGCTCACAGCCCTTTGGATAATTTAAAACATTTCTTTGGAGTAGAATCAGGGCCAAACTGCCCTGAGTCAGTTCTGCTCTTCCAGATCTGGAAACTACCAGGAGTGCAAAGTTCCCAGCAAGGAAAAGAAGCAAGAGAAACAATTACTGTTAATTTTGGCAATTAGTTTTGTGCTCTTAGAGGGCAGTTCTGTTCTGCCAATGCTAAGAAATAGACTAAAAGCCTAAAAGGTTCCTGGCCTGTTACTAAAATCAGGAAGTCTGAGGTAGGAAGTATGGGCCTAACATGTGAAATCAGTTTATTTATCATGAGCTCTATTTCCAAAAGCCCTTGAAAGGTATTAGATACTTCATTAAAGTGTAAGGCCTTATCAGAGCAGGATGTGCTGTTCCAGTCCAGAGACAGCGAGTGGGCATTTCACAGCTGCAGGGTGCTGGGCTCTGTCAGCAGCAGAGCAGGATGTGCCTGGCCTGGGAGGGAACACGGAACTGGGGGCGTAGCTACCTCCAGTCAGGGTAGGATGAGAATGTGAGTGAACGGCAGATTCCCAACACTGGAGCACAGTGGTGAAATTGTACAGAAGTTGTGGTCTGCACTTCAGCTGACAATGAGCTGTGCCTGACTGAATGAGAGGTAAAAAGAGGAGTTACATAAAGTATGAAGCTGTCTTCCACTGATGCTGTTTCACCGAGATGTTTTAACACTAAGTACAGCTTTAAATGGGTTCTGTCTGTTTTCCCAACCTTTAATTATGAGCAAGTTTTCTGAGCTCCGGTGTTTTGGCCTTATGAAACAATGACAACTGCATCTCTCAATGACTCAGTTTGTTAGAAAAGGGATTGAAAATAACCCAGCTTCTACTGTATGGCTGGTGCAATTGGAAGAGCATTCAGCCACCTTGTGTTAAACAGGTTCTGCTTCAAAACTGAGTCTTTTGCCCAATACCTGCTTTTGTCTAATGCCACTCGCTGATGGAGTTCATGTTCAGCTGGTGCTTTAGTCACATACGTACTAAAGCAGCCTTTAAGATGACTGGATCAGCACGCTCTTCAGCAGCCACCTGAACACAACTTCTAATCATGCTTGCTGCTACTGGTGTGCTGCTTCATGCTGTGTAATCAATCCAGCAGCAAGCAGGGCATTGCTTTTTTAATGTTGGTATATCTATATATACATATATGGAACATGAGGACAGTCCTGAACAAAACTGTTTTTTTTTGTTTTTTTTTTTTTTTTTTTTTTTTTTTTTTTTTTTTTTTTTTTTTTTTTTTTTTTTTTTTTTTTTTTTTTTTTTTTTTTTTTTTTTTTTTTNTTTTTTTTTTTTGGGTTTTTCTTGTGTTTTTTGCACAGAACTGTGTAAAGGTAGCTGCTCAGATCCAAGGATATCAGTTGAATCAGTTGATCTTAAACAGCAGATGACATTGTACCAAAAGAAATGCAGACAGGAGAAGGAAGTGTTGCTAAGGATTTTATGTCATCTTTCTAAGAAAATCCCCTTGAGGTATTTCTGTCAACCTGGGATCTCAAGTAGTAGTCCTCTAGAAAGGACCCTGTATCTGAAAATTGAAAATCTGAAAATTCTCTCTCTATTTGCCTATTGTGAAGCAAATGTTTGAATCAGTGTCATTAGCACTGGATAAAGTGGGATCTTCAGGAGGTACACTCACTCTCCTGAAGTTTCAACCAGATAACACTCAAGTAGTCCTTGAGTGGCAGCAGGAAGTGAGTGGGATGTTCTCACACTGCAGTAACACGCTTCACATGGGACTCTTGCAAGCTGTGAAAAATCACAGCTCAATTACTTGCCCTAAACAAGCCAGAGCATCTGGAGTGTAGCATCCAAAAGAGAGAAAAAAGGCATTGGCTGGTCAGTGCACCAAGGGGGTGTGGGTGGGTGAAGAGAGAATTAAATAGATACAGGCTGACCATTTTATAGTTAAGGGACTAATAAAATATTC